CCCCCTCTCAGCTCTGTGCTCAGCCCCTGAGGAGAGGAGGAAACTTTGCTGCGAGCTGCAAGGCCCCCACTTTCCAAGCAGAGCCCAGCGGCCACCTCAGCTCAGCTCCTTCATGGGCCTCGCCAGCACGCAGAGACACGTTCCGCGCCAGGACAGGTGCCTTCCCCCAGGCCCATCGGCAGCAGCTTCACCTCAGATACCGACAGCCTCTGCTCACGCCCCAAGCTGGAACAGCCCAGGCCAAAGAGCGGCCAGTGCACTGGACAAAGAGCCAGGACTCTCCGTGATTCAAATGGGGCTGTGGCTCATTTACGCCCGCTGGGACCCTGGCCCAGTGACCCCAATGGAGCCCTAGGTCATTTACACCAGCTGGGACCCTGGCCCATTGAGCTAGGGCTCATTGACTCCATATGTGATCCTGCCTCACTGACTCCAATGGAGCCGTGACTCATTTACATCTGCTTGGCCCCTGGCCCCATGACGCAATGGAGTCCTGGCTCAGATAAACCAGCTGGGATCCTGGCACAGTGACTCCAAGGAAGCCACGGCTCATTTACACCAGTTTGGTCCCTGGCCCAGTGACCCCAATGGAGCCACGGCTCGTTTACACCAGCTGGGACCTTGGCCCATGGACCCCAATGGGGCCATGACTCATGTGCACCAGCTGAAACTCTAGCCCAGTGACCCCCATGAAGCCATGGCTCATTTACAGCAGCTGGGACCTTGGCCCAGGGACTCCAATGAGGCCATTGATCATTTGCACCACCTGGGACCCTGGCCCAATGATACCAATGGATCCACGGCTCATTTACACCAGCTGGGACCTTGGCCCAGGGACTCCAATGAGGCCATTGATCATTTGCACCACCTGGGACCCTGGCCCAATGATACCAATGGATCCACGGCTCATTTACACCAGCTGGGACCTTGGCCCAGGGACTCCAATGAGGCCATTGATCATTTGCACCACCTGGGACCCTGGCCCAATGATACCAATGGATCCACGGCTCATTTACACCAGCTGGGACCTTGGCCCAGGGACT